TTGCAAGATTAGGAGAAGTTATTTGAAGGTTGCAGTGGAAGCTTTGCTTGATTAAAGCCTATGCATGCAGCTGGTGTTACAATGTTTACCCTGTTTTTTCAGTCAGTCACTGATCAGAAAGGAAGTTCATCTTTACAAAAAACTTAATGTGTGACCTTTAGTTCAACTGGCTTGACTCTGATTTGCCAGCATCAGAGGACTTCTTTTATATGAGAATACAAAAACCAATTTTATGCAATTACTGCAGTGAAACCAGTTTTCTCTAGGAAGTAAAGAGCTAATTACAGTCATTCCCTCTGAAAGATCTAAGAAAGCACAGCAATTAATCTGACAAATTGTCATCTGTTCCTGTCTGTCTAAGGGACACCTCCTTTCAAGCTCAGTCAGCAAGTTCTGTTTATGTTAAAGGGAATAAGACATAGCAACTAGTAATTGTAATTAATATTTGCCGACAAGCTAAATAAATTTGTATTTGGCATTTGCAGCATTACTGCTGTGATGAATACAGAAAAGATCCATCTAAGGCATTTTTAATTTTAGTATCAACTTTTTAAGCTTAGATTTGTCACGAGTTTATTTTCACAGGAATCTTTAGTTTTTCTTCAGGTTGTGTGTCTGATTAGAGGGTCATGCTCTATGGACTGCTCTAACAGTCCTCATATCTTTCCTTCCTGAGAATAAGAGAAGATATAAATCTAATAATGTCAGAGACTCTCAAGTAAATGAGCAAACAGCTTTTCCTGAGGGCCTGCACTTCCTGATGGAATATCTTCTTGCCACATGCAATCTATCAGCATGCACACATTTTGAAACAGAATTATATTTTGTATGCCTCATGGTACACACACCCGCAGAGCTCAGTGAGTTCTTAATATATATAATATTAGTAGGTATGGGTAGCATTTTCTTAAAACATTAAAGGGAAAATGCAGCCAAACATTTCAATGTCTTATGGAGAATAAAGAAAATATTTTATTGAGAATTTGAACATTTCCTGTATTAATTCTATAGCACTGATATTATTAATTATCTGGAAGTAATATTACTACAATAGAAAACTTTCAATTTTTTTCAATTTGTTGTCTAGTCAAATTTCTTTGAGCTGATCAAAGTGTACTTTGTTCATCCTAGAGTTACCTGCAAAAATTAATTATATTTGCTTGTTGGGCTTCTGCTGAAGTATCTGAAAATTTCTCTTCACCATCTCTTTTTATACATTCTGAGTGCTTAGGTCTGACAGTAACCTGTAGGTAGCAATCCTGCTGTGTTTGAGAACAGTTTCTCATTCCATTGATATTCACATTGTGTCTCATCACTTTAGATGCTTTTTGTTTGCCTATTTGGCTTCATAAAGATCCATATGAAGTCTAAGCTTCTTCCATCTCTTCTAATATCACACAGACCTTCCCTGAAGCAGAGGATGCAGCCTTTAAATTCTTGTTACTTCAGAGACAAAATGGGAGTAAATGCCATATGTAAACATTTTCTAGTTTTGTGGTGGTGAATTTTTACACATCGTAAGACTATATTGGTCATTGCTGGAAAGTGTTTTTGGTGTTTTTTTGTAAGAGATATTATTAAATACAAAGGTGTAGATTCCTGGATTGTCTTCCTAAATACAATTATATCATATAACATGAATATAAAGTTTCTATTAAAATGTTATTTTTATTGTGTGATGAGGCACAATGGCATGAAAAATATTAAGTGGGTAGTGCTTTTTTTTCTTGTCTCTGTAAGCAAAGTTACCATGGGTTTATCCTCAGAATTAAGAACTATGCCGTATGATTAGGCAGAGGTAGCCTGCTCGGTGGATGCCACAATGAATTTCATGTACACAGCTGCAATTTTGGTTGCTATAGTATAAGCTATATGTACTAATTAGAAACATAATAAATCACGATTAGGAAGGTATTTATATGCTGCATTGGAGGACCAAGATACCAGAGGCAGCCCCAGATATTACAAGATGTAGAAGAAAGTGATTTTCCACTGGGACAGAAACTGGAATGCTTTAATTGGCCCAGTTTCCAGTTTCCCTCTCTTAACTGTCGTAATTCTTGATGCTGAGACACCATCCAGGTAGGAGCTGGTTAGATGTATGTTTAGGAATTGTGAATGACTTAGGGTAGATCTTTTTGCCCTGCTACCTCTTAGCTTCTCTTGTTGCATTCCAGTCAAAAATTTCTTTGTGCTTTGGAATTTCTGCAGACCAGTTGTCTCTTGATATTTTCTGTTTGGCTTATGTTTTCAATTGCTTGCTTTTCTTTTTCTGTCAATTTGTTTTATTTTTTGGGAGACTATTCTATTCAGGGGTTTCTGCAGCCAGGAATTTACTTGCATTTGTACTCTGTGATAGTACAAAAGATTTCTCCTCACATTCAGCATAGGAAGTTTGGGGGTTTTATTTCCTTTCTTCTGGAAATTTCAAAAAAGAAGTGAGTTTGGAGAGTGATTTGGGTTTGGCATGTGGAATATCTTTTTTTCAGATTAAAAAAAAAACCCAAAACACTAAATAGTAGGTAGAATCCCTACATGCACTGTATTTATTCATAATTCTAAATCTACAGGGTACCAGTTTTCAGTGTGGTTGATGTCATTCACAGAAAATACTTAATCCCATTTTATGGTGGACCTAATTAAAAGGAGTAGGAAGCTAGTAGTATTACAGAAAAGAAATGTCTCCACTGTTATGTGTAACCTAATTGGTTACAAGCCAACAACACTCTGCTTACACATATCCATCCATCTCCATCTTACACCTGGCTTGGAATCATGGCTTCTGTATAACCAAGTCATGCAGATTTTAGCAGTGTGGTTTACATGATATTCCAGTAATGGTAACTCATCTTTTGGAGTTGGTGATGCACATCTGAGCCAAAACCCCCACCTCCAAAAAAGAATAGTTGGTGAAGCAATCAATCTTCTAGGAGTGAAGTTCTCAGAACATTTTTTTTTTTTTTTTGCTATGAAAATAACAGCAAAAATACCCAATAAAGTGTCTTTTTTTGTTATTTTTTGAGACACTCAGGTTGCACTCAGGAATCCAGGAAGGATCAGAGCAGTATACCAGTATGCCCATATTTCATTGAATCCTTGGACATTAGAAGGGAGAGGTAGGAGGTAGCTATGTGATTCTGTCCCAAACTTTTCCATGTCCCGGTGTTCTGCATAAGGGAAGTTTGCTACTTAAACACCACTGAAAAGACAAATGTCAGAGAAGTCTGGAAAAAGCTGTGTAACAGCAAAAAGGAATACACGTGATACAAGTAAGCTTGATTGGAAAAATTATGCCTTGTGTGTGAGAGAGGGAAGTGTTTGTTACTTCTGTTCACTCTAGATATATCTTGTATGTTGAGCTAGAGTCCCTAAAAATACCTAGAATAGCTACTGAATGTATTAAGGTTTCATCCTAGTCCCCTTATAGCCACATAAGGAGAGGGAT